TGCACTCCAGTCTGGGTGACTGAGTGAGACTCCAACTCAAATAAATAAATAAATAAATAAGATAAAATTTTTATATTTGAAAAGAGAGATCTCCAGATACTTAAGTTTCCACTTCAACAAACTAGACAAAGAGAGACAATTAAATCTAAAGAAAGTAACAGAAAAAACAGGAAAGATTAGACTATAAAACTGAAAACAGACACAGCACAGAAAATCAAACCAAAGCTTAGTTATTTAAAAAGATTTTTTTCAATGATAAGCAGAAAAAAAAAAAACAAGTCATAAATTATCAATATCAGAAACGCATAGGGGAAATTACTGACACAACAGACATTCAACAGATAATAAAACAATATGGGCGACTATAACAAATTAAGGTGGCTTAAATAACAAATATTTATTTTTCTCAGTTTGAGAGGCTGGAAGTCTCAGAATAGGGTGCCAACACAGTTGCACTCTTGTGAGTGACCTCTTTGGATTATAGACTATTCTTGTAATAGCCTCACATGGTGGAAAGTAAGCTAGCTAGCTGTGGTATCTTCTTGTGAGGGCATTTTAATCTATCATTTTTAACCAGAAAAGCAAATGACTGTATTTGAACACTCTAGAAAGAAGCGGTAGGAGAATATGGACTGTAACCAGAGAGAGTTTTTTGGATTCTTAGAACTTTATTCCTTTGTTTTAGAGCACTGATATATTATTTAGTTCAGTAATTCAAATCTTTAAATGTTTTTTTATTTACCTGTGCTCTCAGGCTAGACTTTAATGTACTTATTATCTAAATTCCCACCTGAATGATAACAGAATATGAAATCTAAATTATTTTACTATTATTGATTAACAACTTTACTATTCTTTTATAACAATTTTTCTAAGTTTTATATTTAGAGATAGCTTATTTAGCCAGTCAATATGCTCTAATTATTTACATATATTAACTGGGAGATATGCTTGATCTAAATTATATCAATCTTTTTGTAATGCCTTTTGTTTATATGGCTTCACAACAAAAACTTTCAATAAGTGTACATCACTTCTAATAATTAAGATAATTTATTTTTTCTTCTAGGAATTGTATTGAAAACTTTAACTTTTTTAAATTTCTGGAATATTTATTAGTATAGACAAAGGCTAAGATGCATATGAAAAGATGTTTGACATCATTAGTGACAAAGAAACTGTTATGGACTGTGTCCCATCCCCAAATTCATATGTTGAAGAACTAACTTCCAGTAATACTGTATTTGGAGACAAGGCCTTTAGGAGGTAATACAGGTTAAAATGAGGAAATAAGGATGAAGCCTTAATCCAGTAGCACTGGTGTCCTTACAAGAATGGGAAAAAACACCAGGGTGCTCTCTCTCTCTCCCCCAGTGGCTACGCACAGAGGAAAGGTCATGTGAGAACACAGCAAGAAAGGTGGCTTTCTGCAAGCCAGGAAAGAAAGGCCTCACCAGAAACCAACTTATTAGCATCCTGATCTTGGACTTTCAGCCTCCAGAACTGAGAGAATTTCTGTTGTTTAATCCACTCAATCTGTGGTATTTTATTATGACAGCCCTAGCAGGCTAATAAATAAAACAAATCAAAATCACAAGGAAATGCCATTTCACATCCACCAGGATGGCTGGAATCAAACAAATGTTGGTAAGAATCTGGAAAAATCAGAATCCCTATGGGCTGTTGTTAGGAATGGAAAATGGTGAGGTCACTTAGAAAAACAGCCTGGCATTTCCTTAATCAGATAAACGGAGGTACCACATGACCTAGAATTTCATGACTAGGCATAAAAACATATGTCCATGCAAAAACTTGTAAATGAATGCTTATATCAGCATTATCCATAATAGCCAAAAGGTGGTAGTCCAAGTATCTACTGACTGATGAATGGAAACACAGGCAGTATATCCAAATATTGAAACAGTATCTGGCCATAAAAAGGATGAAACACTGATATATGCTATAACATGAACCTCTTAAACATTAAGTTAAGCAAAAGAAACCAATCACAAATGACCACATACTATATGATTCCATTAATACAAAATGTCCCAAATAGGCAGATCTGCAGAGACACAAGTATATTAATGTCTAGTCAGACCTGGAGGAGTCAGGGGTATAGAAGAGTGACAACTAAAGGGTACAGATTTCTTTTTCAGGTGATGATGTTTGTACATAGAGTCATTTGGAGGAATAGATCTAGGACTCCTTTGAATACCAAACTTTATGGATGCCGAAGTCCTTGATATAAAATGGCACAGTATTTACATATAACCTAAGAACATCCTCTGGTATATTTTAAATCAACTCCATATTACTTATACTAGCCTCATAAAACACAGGCAGTAGACAGTTGTATGCTATATTGTTCAGGGAATAATGAAAAAAAAGGCTGTTACTTTCAGTAGAGATTTATTTTTTTTAAATAGTTTCCATCTATATTTGCTGTAATCCATGGATGCAGAACCCATGGATAAAGAGGAAAGACTGTATCTACAAATACATTAAAAGACATTGAACTATATTCGTTGAATGAATTGTATGAGATGTGAATTATATCTCATTAAAGCTGTTACCCTCCCCCCAAAAAAACATT